CTCCCTTCACCCCCTCCACCCTCCCCTATTTACAAAGACTTTGTTTCCATTTTTTCCTTTTCTCATATTTTTTCTTTTCCCTTATTTCCTTTCCCCTACATTTCACACTTCCCCAATACCTTTAGCCCATTTCTTGCTGTTTCACATTATCAGTTATACATTTTGGATCTTATTTTACACTTTTAGTTTTTCACACTCCAATATATTTTTAATCAGATCTCTGGGTCTGTTGAACAAGACATCTACATAGGTATTTCAGTGAACACAGGGTGATCTTAAAATGTCAATGTATCTTGTAGGTGGCTCAAGTGAGTAAAAATCACTTTGTTAAACTCTGCCCCATACACAGTCTTGCCACCAGTTCTTTGACAGCTACTCATCTCTCTTGAACCAAGGAGCAAATATGATGGGAGTCCACAGAGGGTGGGAAATAACAAGTTTGCTCATCACTTCAGACAAGTGGAAAAGCAAATAGGGCGGAAGTGAGAAAATACTTGGCTGAAGGAGTTCAACTGGCTCCCAAGATATGGGTACCATCACCATGTCCAAAAGGAACATATCATATTTTATGTTGGGTACCGGGGGTCAAACTCGGGTCCTTGTGCTTGCGAGGCAGGCAGCGACACCACGAAGCTAAATCCCCGGGCTACACATGACATTTGACATGCAGAAAATTTGTAGTGGCATCCATAGCAGAACATCTGGTTTTAGGAGCTATGCCTGGATAGCCTCTTTGTGTCCTCACAATGATCTGAAGGTACTGTTACTAAACACTCCTTTTCACAGAGGAGAAAAAGAGAAATAGGAAGGAAAATGACCTGCCCATGCTCACAGTGTCCAGATTTAAACTTGGGCAATCTGAATTCCAGAGTTTAAGCCTTTAGCTTTCATTTACATTGGCTTTCAAAGTCAAAGTACTGAAAAATGCATGTGGAATCTAGTAAGAGACTCAGCTCATAAATGTTTCCCCCCTAAGCCCTGATTTTAAATCTTCTTGGATGCGTTAGTCCAGAGTCTACAAAATTTTTGTGTAAAACACCATAAAATTTGTCACAATTACCCAACACTGCTGCAATAGCATGAAAGCAGCCATGGATAATGTTACTTACATGAAACAGTCTTGGTGTGTTTCAATAAAACTTTATTTGCAAAAACAGGTGATGGGCCAGATTTGGCCCATGGGGTGTGGTAGTTTACTGACCCCTGCTGTAACACAGCAGTGTTGGTGAATGTTTTAAAGCTTTCAATGGTAACAAAAAGCTTGCTATAGCACATGTGCCATAGGTCTGGCACCACTGCATTATCATAAATTCTAGTAATGCAGCATTTTATAAGTAAGCAAGAATAATCTCTCTAACAGGTATTTGTGGGTGAAGGTGGATAGTAACAAATACCTGTTGTAAGGGCCGGGGATTTAGCTCAGCGGTTCGGTGGCTTGCCTCGCAAGTGCAAGGACCCGAGTTCAATCCCCGGTACCAAAAAAAAAAAAAAAAAAAATTTTAAAAAAAAAGAAAAAGAAAAGAATTACAAATACCTGTTGCAAATGATTTTTTCTTGAAAAAAAATGGGTATTTCATCAGTCTTTTAATATTTCTATTAAAATACAGTAGAACAACCTTCCATGGCAACAATTTTCACTTATAAAAATTATGGATACTGACTAACGTATGTGTATTTATATTTAATATTTTAGACTTCTTGAGACAAATGTATACACAAATACTCAGTCAGACTAGGACGCTACTAGAATTTCTAAAGGCTGTCTACTCAGACTACAGGGAAGAAAAGGAAACATAAAACTCCTGGCAGAACAGTCAGGAAAAATAATCAGCAAGAAACAAATCTACTATCTCCTTTTTCTTGAAAAGCAATGGTTTTTAATTCTCTTTCTGGTATCTTAGTGCTGACAGCCACAACAGGACAGCATAGTTCAACCCCAGGCACTCATTTCCAGTAATTAGTTGGAGTACTGATAATTCATTTCAAAGCCTAAGGATAGCAACCTGCTGGGTCAAATCTTCATGGAAACATATACTAAAAACAAAAAGAGCTCCACATACCTTATTCCCTGTTTCAAATTAATGTAAGATGCATGTTTTTCAGGACAGGAAAATTGCATGTGCCTTTGGGATTTATTTACTGAAATGAATTAAGAATTTGCATTCTGCAAAACACAAAACTAAAGACAAACGATAACTAACCCTCAGAAGTGTCTATACTGCTCTGAATAGGAAAACAAAATCCCAAATAATATTGCTATAATATGCTGTAGTAGTGTCCTACATCATACAAAAGTGAAACACAAAAGCCTCAGATTGCTCCATGAAGACATTATTTCTTGTATACTGGCAAAATCAAAACACATGTGCTCTAACCTGTTCCCAGCCTCTCCAGAGGATTCTGCCTGAGAAGCAAGGTAATCAGATCCTGGGCATCTGGTGGTGGGGCCTCATCCTTTTCAGGCCAGTTGATTTCATCTAAAAAGAAAAGTAATATGTAACTTTCCCAAAGAGGCGTTCAGGTCATCATCAGAGTTCATGTACATCACCTGGGTGTCAGACATGCAGCATCTAAGGGCCCATCCTAGACCTACTGAATCAGAATCTGTATTTTAAGTTCTCCAGCAGATTCCTGTGCACAGTGGAGTCTCAGCAGCAGCATATTACAAGACATGAATAGCACAGCTTCCTACAGGTTGGGGACAGAATATTTCAATAAGCAATGTCACGGGCTGCGGATTTCGCTCAGTGGTGCTACTGCCTGCCCCACAAGTGCATGGTCCTGAGTTCAATCCCCAGTACCAAAAAAGAAAAGACAGAGAAAATAAAACAATGTCACTCATCTGCATTTTGGATTCAATTTCTTTGCCAGAATTGGCTCCCAACAAGTTGCCCCTTCTGGTAATTAAGAGGACTTAATATGACCGAAACACCTGTGTCTCTGGCCCACTCCTGGGGATCATGTCTGAGTAAGATTTACTATCCTTAACTGAGAATTTGGCCATGACCAAAGAGTTCTTAAGCTCCGCGAAGTAAAAAGTTATTTAAAAAAATACTTCTAAGAGACAAAGGAGAAGCCAAAATGCTAAGACTGAAAAAGAAGGATACCCCAAGTGATCATGGTAATGGAAGTATTTAAAATTTGTCATAAATATCAGAATATGTTCTCAATCTAAAGGAGTTTGCCTGAAGATAGGTGTGTGTGTGCTTGCGTGTATGGAAATGCAATAAAAACATGAGTTATTTCTGTATGTGGCTGCCTCTAGCTTCCTCGGCTGTAGTTTAAATCTGATTTGGAAAATAAAACATGAATATGCAACTGAGCCGCAAGGCATCAAGAACAAAGCCAGCATTTGCTGCTTGTGTTAATTAAACAGTTGATTCCCCATGTCATTCAAGCCTCAGTGTGTCAGAAAACAGCCTAGTTATAAATCCAAAAACAGCTCAGATATTGTATAAAGGGGTTACACACTGCAGGCAACTCACAAATCTACTTTGTTAAAGTTTACAAATTCGCCCGGCTTGCAAAGTCAATGTTGGAAAATAATGCTGTGATTAAGAGGCTCCTTATATGCCAAATGAATTTTTCCATATTTCCAGGGCTGGCTGGTGTTAACACAGTCCAGAAGAGATCAGAAGTGGTAGATGGACCTGTCATGATGCCTGACAGACTTTCAGCAGGAATGGCCTCTTTGATCTATGCTTCAGGGAAATTTACAAAATCAGGTAGGGTAGTGGTGGTTCCTATTTAATTATCATTTAGCTTAGCCACAAGGTGCATAACAATAGGGTCAGCTTGCAGGATAAGATCTAAAGGTTATTGAATTTTAAATGAAAGATGAACAGCTGTTACAGAAATAACATTACACTATAACAACTACCAATGAAATCATTAACAATCTGTGGATTCAATTTGCTTCCTTCCCATTCTCATTATTTATTATTTGGTAGACATTTGTTTTAGGGTTTATTACATTTTTGTTAATTTCTTCATTGTGCCATTAGCCATTTTTCCCATTTATGTAAATGTTACTCGCATTAACCTTTTCTTCCCTGGTGCAACTTTCCTATTATGGAAAAGAAAGACCGGACAACAATGAAATCACTCAGAAATCCCACACCAATTTCTTTCACACACAAAAAAACCCCACACAATAAAAGTTGGAAATCATTGCTAGCACATTTCCAAATTCCATGTTAACAAAACTTTCTCAGCTCAATTTTCAACATGCATTGCTCTCTTGAGATTGTGAAAGTCAGTTATGGGCTGTGATGAGTAAGTGAAAATATTGGCTCCACTGTTCATAAAGGTTAAAATTTTAGCGGTGAAAACTGTGACACTCAACAGATTTACAATAAATAGCTGCTTCCCAGTAGTGGCTTAATGATAACTCCTGATGATATTTACCACTGATGACTTGTCCAAATAGCTCCTCTGGAGTGTCCCCAAAGAATGGCACACATCCAACCAGAAATTCATAGAGGATAATTCCCATGGCCCACCAGTCTACGGGCTTCCCATAGCCCTGTCTCAGAATCACTTCTGGGGCAATGTATTCAGGTGTGCCACAGACCTAAAAGATGATTGCAATATTAGAATAACTGGAATATTAGGAATTACAATAAGCAAGATGACTAAACAATTATCTTACCTCAAGTGCACCTGCTCAACTACAGACTCATAGAGAGACCTTAAGGACAGCAATTACACATTTCCACAAGACCAAGGCAAATTAGCACTTTAAGACCAAAGAAGGAAAGTCTAAAATTCTGATTGAATGTTAAATTATGTGTAATGCTTAGTTTCAACTTGAGAATGTGACCCTGTTTGGTAGTTTTCCTTATTTTTAAATACTAAAACGTATAATTCTCATATTTAAAACAACACATTTTTACTCTGTTACTATCAGTTTTATTATTAATATGACCAAATGGATTCACACTCTGGTTATTTCATAAAAGGATGACAGTTGAGATGTGTTTACCTTAAGTAACTTTACAATGAACAGATTGCGGGCACATGGTAATGAGGCATGCTTAAAGGGAAATGGGCCATGGTTTGGATTTTAGCATCCGTGATTGTACAATGCATCATGAGTTTCACGAGTACTCTACTGAGACTCCTGAATTCCTTACAAAAACAGTTTTCCATTTGTCTCTCTCACACTCTCACTTGTGTGCAATTAGATCGTTCGTCTTGCTAATAGACCATAATGCTGGGGGAAGAAAGTGGAGGGAGCGGACAGTTCAGAGAGGCCCATGGAGACAAATGGGAGCAATTTGCACTTTATTAAATGTAAGGCTTATACAGACATCTAAACCGCCAGCACTAATGTGGAGATGGCTGACGCAAGTGGATTTTGAGTTTCACTGGCAGCACAGTACTTTGTATTTCCCCATGGAGAGGAACAGCATCCCAGCTTACCTGTTTATCCAGGAACTCTCGAGCATCCTTCTCAATATGACCCTCATAAAGATTGGTAGTCATGCTCATTAGTCCCACCTTAGATAATCCAAAATCTGTCAGTTTTATGTGCCCCATGGAGGTGACCAACAAGCTATGAAGCAGAAGGATACAGAGTACAGCAATCACTTTTTTTTTTAAAGATTTCCCCTTCCCCTCATCAATTTGTAAGACTGCTAAATGTATCTTTAAAAAAAACAAAAAAACAAAACCCAGCCTGAAAAGTGAAGTGATGAAGTCACATAGGGATGTCACTCCTCTTGGCTGAGTGTAATTCACAGGAGCAGGCCAGAGACAAGGTGCAGCTAATCTTTGTTGGAACAGCCACTTAAGTATCATTTCTAACAACACTCTGAAACTCTTAGAAAAATTCAAGGATAGAACACTGACTCCTTTCCATTTGCAGAATAAGAAAATGGATGAGAGGGCTGGGGATTTAGCTCAGTGGTTCTGCCACCTTCCTTGCAAGCGCAAGGACCTGAGTTTACCCCAAAAAAAAAAAAAAAAAAAAAAAAAGAAAAGAAAAAAAGAAAACGAAGAGAAAGGGCTACCACTGTTCCCATGTCATACGTTAGGAATTAAGATAACCAACCCATATGTGATTCAAATGAGACACAGATAAAGAACTTGGACAGAAAAACGTATTGTTTCACATTTCAACTTCCAGCCCTAATTTACATTTCTACTCAAACACAAAACCTGCATTTCTTATACATGCAAATGATACTCATGTGAATGAATTTAGAATGTTTCATTTTAAGTAAAAAAAATTAACAGTATATACAGTATATCAACTAAAAAACCAAATTAATAGAAGGATTTAAAAATGGAGGAAATATACCAAATTTCTACTAGCTGTCTTTGTTTGGCAATAGTGTGAATGAAATTTTTTTCATCTCTTCTCTTGTGCTTTCCACATTTTCAGGAATAAGCATGAATCAATCTTATCATAAAAATTTCAACACACTTAAAGTCTTTACATATTAACGTGTAATGTTTTTAAAGACAGCTCCCATTAGTGGAGAAAGCATGAAATATTTAATAAATGGTGTCAAGATGAACAGCTAGTCATTTGGGGAAAAAATTCCATCTGTATCTCAAATCAGACACCTAATGAACTTCACATAAATTAAAAATTAATAAACAGTGTGAGCAAAATAGAATATCAAGTATATTATTTTGGAATAGGGAAAGATTATCTGAGCATGACGTCAAATGCAGAAACTCTGCCTGGCAAGAGTGAGGTCCTGAGTTTGATCCCTGGTACCCCCATCCCAAATTCAGGAACTATGCAGAAAACAACTTGGGGGAGTCTATGTTGCTATATAAAATTTGATGTCCTAAAAAACTTCAAATTAACGAATTCTGGCTTTAGAGTCAGCTTATCCTCATAAATTGTTATTACAAGCATTATAACTTTTAGAGAATTATAAAAATGATCAATTGAAAATAACTTTTGACATCATGGGAAAGCTTAGTATTTACATAGAAGACATATGCTTCTTTACTGTACTTACTTGTCTGGTTTCAAATCCCTGTGTACAATTCCATAATTATGCAGATATTCCAAGGCCAGGACCGTCTCAGCAAAATACATTCGGGCCATATCAACGGGGAGAGGACCCATATTTTTCATTAAGGTGGCACAGTCTCCCCCTATAAAACACAAGAAAAAAATTTAGTAGGTGCAACATGAACCAGGATTAATGCAGACCATCAGTTTTGACTGTGGACTTTCAAAGCAGAATCATAAGTTGAGACTGTGCATTAAGTAATCATGTTTCTAACTAAGACATTGAGTGGAAACAATAAAGACTTCAGATTCAGTATTCATAACGGCAAGTTTGGCTCCAAAGCAGAACTGTATTTTGAGGAACTACTAACTTAATTTTAGTATATACAGTATTACATAAATTAGAAATTAAAGAAATTGAGCTAAAAAATTAACAACTAAACGTATACCAGTATAAAACATGGACCAAACAAATAGTCTACCTGCATTTAAGTCCTAACTCTGTCTCCTTTTAGGCTGAGGGATTTAGGCAAACTAGTAATCTTACTAGTCTTGGTTGCTTCATCTGCAATATTAGGACAGTAATAAATTTATCTTTTACAGAATATTATGAAGATTAAGATAATCTGTATAAAGAAGTTAGAATCCCACCCAACACATACCAAATACATGATAAATGTTATTATTGCTGCTGCTGTTGTTAAAGTGAACAGGGAAATGGTTAAGAAAGCAAAAAACTTGTGTGGTGGCAAAAACAATGGGTGGAAATCAGGCAAACTAGGCTTTTTGTCTTCAATCTGCCACTTAATATATAGTAAGTCTCTCTTGGACTTCAGTTCACTCATTTGCAGAATATAGAATTAGGTTTAACTAAATCTATTGTATGTCTGAGTTTGTTGTTTTGGGATTCTGTTCAGGTAATGCCAAGAGCTTAAACTGGATGCTTTGAAAATTGTTTTGGCCTGTGCTGATGTATTCATTTTATTAATTTTATGTCAACAAGTCATGGCCACTTACAGTTTCAAAACTTTAAAGGAAAAGATATGGAAATAAGAATACTTGGGACAGTTTAAAAAGTAGACCACAAAAACCATTTTTAAAAAAGAAAAAGCTACAAATCAAGCAGATTTGGCTGGATTTTTTGAATGTCTTTCCTTTTCCCAACACATTTTTAATTCTATACTTTAGACTAAAAAGAATGTATTTTTAATTCAGGAACACCCAACAGCAATGACTACTTCTATGATATGTGATAAAATAAGAAGGAAAAAATGCATCACTTGTGTTCCAACTTTAATGATCGACTGAAGGGAGGTAGTTAGGATTAAAAGCTATTTAAAAAAAGAAAACGCTTTTTTCCAAATAACACTAATTTTCCCTTTGTTATAGTAGAGCAGGCACTTTACAAGCAATTATCAGAAGATAATGACTGGGAATCCAGCCAACTCATTGCCTGGTTTCGGGTCCTAGGTGGATATAGCCATTTATGTGGCATAAGCACAGACAGCTCCAAGGACACAAATGAGCAAGGAACTGTTGCAGACAGGTGTCATCTTCTCGATCAGTAGCTGAGTTACCTTCCACATATTCCATGACCATGCATAAATGGCGCCTTGTTTCAAAGGAGCAATACATGCTGACGACAAAGGGGTTTTCTGCAAAAGTCAGGATATCCCGTTCCACAAAAGCCTGCTGAATCTGGTTTCGAAGGATGAGGTTCTGTTTATTAATCTTCTTCATGGCAAACCTCTGCCTTGATTCCTTATGCCGAACAAAGTAGACTGCCCTAAAAAGAAGCACAAGTATTGGGGTTCACGGGAAGAGAGAAATAAGGACGTTTGGGGGATACAGCAAACCACATGCTCATCTACTTTTCTGAAGTTCATGAAGCAGCTGGAATTCAGCTCACCTAAACTAGGCTGGCAACTAGAAACAACTTCTAAGGCCAACGTCTTTTGGCTACATTGATTTTTTTTTAAAAAGTCTTTCAATAAAGGTCATAGGTGAGGCATCAAACTAATCTTCATTGCTGAAGAAAGGAGATTGACAGTCCTCAGAGTAAATTATTTTCCAAGATTTAGCTAATGCTTTCAGTTTTTCCACGTACAAAACCAAATCCAATATATAAGTCAGAACTGGGAAGAATTAACAAAGTTACACACAGATCACAAGCTGGATCCTTGCTAGCATTAGACATATGTTAGGCACTTTTCCTTGACTGAATAAAGCAATAATTTTCTAAATGATATCCTTAGAATCTGTAAGGAGGTCCAGAGTTTCTTAAAGTATTTGGTTTCCAACTGAAAGTAATATACATCCCATGAAATTTCTAGGTAAATGAGAAATAAGAAGTTATGTGAGGCTGTTCTGCAACAAAGAGTAGCATATTTCCTTACTATGGACATCAGCACATGTTACTCCCATTCCTGTTCCAAAAGGAAATGCATTTCCCTATAAAAAGAGGGGCTGACTGTATAGCTATACTACTGCTCCTTCTAACCCACAGCCCCCATGTCAGGCAATCCGATTGTAAGATGGACTCCTCTGCCCACAACATTTCCCAGGTACTCTCTAGAGCAAGACCCTGGCCTCCCTGAGGTGCAGGATGATGTGGAGAAGCAACTCATTAGGAGAAGGAGCCTTAAAATCCCACAAGGACAATATCTTGGAGAGGCTCCTTTTCTCACAAGTCACTCCTCGCTGGTCTGGGCATTATGGGAAGGCAGGTCTGACCTCTCTAGGAAGGCAGCAATCAAGCAAGAAATAGTTTACCCAGAGTCACCAACTGGCAGCCAAAGGCAATGATCAAGTAATAATTTACATAAAAAGCCATCAGTCACAGTAAAGAATATCTAGTGACCTGCCTTCTAAACAAGGCGTTATGTGATCTGAGGTGTTTCCACCAGTGATTTCAATGTCCCTGCTCAGCAATGGTGAGGAGGACAGGGACTCCCTGCGTGCTCCTGCTGAACCACTGTGTCAGGTTGCTCCGCGGCCGTGCACCTGAAGTATGGTCAAGCCCAGTTTAATCACTGTTATCATTTTTTCCTTTAATTATTCTACTAGGAATTATTTTTCTTTTATCTATTTATCATATTCATCTTTCGCTTTTGCTCACAAAATCACACATTTTTATCTCTGTTTAAACATTTTTATTATTTTTTATTTTGGCTCTGCTCCCCACCCCATTTCTTTGGCTTTCTAGTTTTTCATTCACTGTATAGTAAAGAGCTCCCTGAACCATACTCCACAAAACCAACTTGCTGAATGCCCTGTTGGTGTCATTTTCTCTGTAAAATCCAGTAATGCGGGAGCCAATGAGTTGACACCCAGCACTTTGGGCATAGCCTGGTGGTTCTCTGCAGAGTTCCTGGACACTGGGACTCCCATAGGCTGAGTTTATTCTCACACCTCTTCTGTTGATTCAATTTGCTAAATAAATATTGAAACCAATGAAACGTGAGTGTGAAAATGAGACACTCCACTGATTATAAAAAATGCCCTAAAGGAATATTTTAGAAAGTTTTGATGTAAATTACTAAATAAAATTCCTTCTGATTTAGTGAGGGTGAACTTTCCAAAAATTGAAGATAAAAAAGTCACAGAAGCTGGGGTTTTAGCTCAGTGGCGCCACACCTCCCTGGCAAGCACATGGTCCTAAGGTTCGATCCCTACTAGTACAAAAAAAATGAAAAACAGAAATTTAGATTTACTTTAGTCAAATTGCTTCAAGTTCTTTCCTACTTCACCTTTAAAGAAGCTGAAACTGGAAATAAGAAAAAATGTATTATAACTATGTTTCCTATTGGTTGTCTTGAGTAGTCTTACATGCCCAAACTAGTAAATTTATATTTGTATTTAGGTTACATTAAAATGTTCAAGTATGTATTTTTAAATGACTTCATACTTTAACTATCTTTTAAGTTAACTAACCAGCTGGTAATTCTTTCTGTATCAGATTAAAGGATATTACTATATTTCTCTTTTTCCAATTACTGATTGGATCAAATCAGGTTACTTTTGATCACATTTGGCAGCAGGATTGTCAACATAACTCACAAAGGAACACAGAGAATAAAGCATCCATTAAATATAAGGCATGTATTACTCCACACATAATTTTCATTAAAAAGGACTTCTGAAATAGGTAATCTTTTTTTAAAAATTAATAATTCAAGATGTTTTAGAGAAAATGGCAACATCTTTCTATAATCACTTGTCTATTTCTAAGAGTCAGCCAGGCTGCAGCTTGCTTTCTATCTCTTCCTCCAGTATTTAATTTTAGGCCCAGAGGACTGTTCAATACATATTCTGAATTTGATGTTCAGACTATCACAAGGCTACCATTTTGATTCTCAATCAGCCTCACCATTTCTCACATACATAATTGCTCTTCAATATTTTGGAAGAACGACAGGAGGTGAAGGAAGAACAGAGTTGTACAGGATTCTATGAAGACACAAAAGAGAAAGATGCTAGAGGCTCAATTTAACCACCGAGCTGATTAGGTCTCTTTGTGGTACTATATAAAAAATGGCAGTCTCAGATTTTCTGTTTGTAGAATCTGATCTGACTTCCAGTTCTCCTTTGCTATGATGTACTTAAAATAATCAGTTAATGATAGGGAAACTGACCTGAACCAACTGAAAATAATTCTATTGGCAGCTTGAGAAATCCCTGCCTCAGGACATGTGCACATATTTCCATCAAGTTGCAGAAGGCAGCTAGACTCCCTAATGTGAATTTTCTGTAGCTCGATTGTTTTGGTTTGTTTTATGTTTTTGGTTTCTTACATTTCTGTATTGCTTTGGGAGTACTAGTCTTCATGCTAATATTTGTTTATTTAGTAGTAATTATTGTGTTCCACATATATCTTTTCTCCTCTTCTATAAATCAAGTGTTCTACACCTCCTTCCGAGACAACAGAGAACAAGAGATTTCGAGAAAGAGGGAAAGGGCTGGGGATTTAGTGCAGTGGTTTTGCTGCCTTGCAGGCACAAGGTCCTGAGTTCAATCCCTGGCACAAAAAATGAGAGAGAGAGAGAGAGAGAGAGGGAGAGAGGGAGAGAGGGAGAGAGGGAG